AAAAAAAAAAAAAAACAAAAAGACTAATGAAAATAAGAAAGAAAAAGACACGTAATAGTCCTGGTTATGTCAGCAAAGAGTAGGAAGTAAGTGCATAAGTATGTAGTATTATACTTCGGTCTAATGGTGCGATAAATGAAATAGACGAGGAACCAACTAGGTCTGATATCTTCGTCTAGTTATCTCCCTTTGTGTCCTTTTTTTATTTCTTTCTCTTCCCTCTCTCCCTCTAGCCCCCCCCCACCCCCACCTTATTCAGTACAAAGACGCCTCTCCGTTTTATTCAACATATATATATATAGTTATATATTTACTGCATACTCGTACTTTAAACCGATTGATTATTATTCCAATTACTATCACCAACGAATACGCGATCGCATCATTATTATTATAATTATTAATCTCTCATGAGATACGATTAATAATAATAATAATTATTATTTTCCTAAGTAATTTATTCGTATATATATATATATATATATATTTTTTTTTTTAAACAAACGTTTACAACGAAAGATATTAAAACACACAAGAAACACATATTATCATACATGTTAATACAAAACTACGATAATCTTACTTAAATTCGTATCAAATAAACATATATATATACATATATATATATATATATATAGATCAACAATTAATCGAACGGACAATTAGTTGCTACGAAATGGTTTCCATATAAAAAAAAAAAAAAAGAAAAGAAAAAGAAAAGAATCAGTGAAAAAAATAAAAACCCCTCAGATAATTTTAACATCGATTGATCCCCGACTACAGGAAATTACAAAGAGACTATTAAAAAAAAAATAGATAGTAGTTGATAGATGTGTAAAAGGGTTGGGAGAATCAGGAGCAGGACAAGGGGGGAAGAGGGGGGGGGGAAAATAGAAGAATTAACGAAGAGGATGAAAACGAGGTAAAAAGAGACTCATCGAAGCGAGAAGGCAAACCTTCCCAAGTAGAAATCCAAACGTTCCGTGCATTCTCTCCCATCCCATCCCATCCCATACCATACCATATCACCCTCTACCCCATACCTCACCCACCACCACCACCATAGCCATTTCAAGAACTACCAGAGAGAAAGAAAGGTCGTGTCACAAAAGCGGAACCGTTTCGTTTCGTTTCGTATACGGTCACGAACAATTTCGAAGTCAAAGTTCACTGTGATAACCCACCCAACCCTTTCTCCTCCTCCCCTACCTGCCCCCAGCCCACTACGTTTCTCGTTACTCTTCAATACCTTCTCCTCCCTCCCTGCCCTCCCCCCCTCTATCCCGTTCACCTTAAATCTTCTTTTTAGTTCCACGTATTTGAATTTCACTGCGAAAGATCATCAATTTGAATTCTTCGCGTATAATCAATTAATTCAATAATTATTGTCAGGGGGTTTGTATCCTTTTTTTAGAAAATTATTTATAGTTGTATATTATAAAGATTGTATAGAAAATGATTGAATAATTTGTAATATTAGTTATATGGTTTTTATAGGGAAATTATTTTGTTATATAATATATATATATACGAGAGTTTGTTTTAATGATTAATATTTAATAAATTTGTTTGTTTGTTTGTGTTTAGAATGCAATTAATATTTTAATATTGTTTTAAAAATATTCTTACTTTTGTCTATCTTGTGTGATATATTTTTTTTTTTAATAATGAATAAATATGTAAGGGTCTATGTAGAATGCGACAAGATGGCGGATGTTTGTTCTATAAAAAGAATTTGGATATTAATGTAAGGTTATATTAATGGAATAAGAAATGACGTAAGAGATAATATTTGTCGAAGGTACGAGGTAATATTATTATTATGCAAGGTCAATTATTCAAGAAAGTTCAATGTGTTTCCAACATTTTTCTTCTTCTTCTTCTTCTTCTTCTCTCTTCTTCTTCTTTCTTTTTTTTTTTTTTATTTTAGTTTATAATAATTATATATTACCTGTAGAATGTTGTGATACAAACTAACGGATATTTGTTCTGTAATGCGAATATTAAAAGATATCACGTAATATTTCTAAAAGGTATGGGGAATTATTAAATGCAAGGTCAATTATTCGAAACAGTTCAATGTATCCTACGAATTTCATATTCTTCCTTTTTTTTTTTTTTTTTATTTGCCAAATGAATTTAATAAATGTCTTACATGTAATTACGATTAAATATACATATGGAAAAAATGAATTTGTTTTAAAAAAATAAGAAAATATAAAACAATTAATATATTATATTAATATATAATATATAATATAAATATAAAACAATTGTGAGATTTTTGTGGCAAGGAAAAAAATGATAGAAGAAAACCAATGCACAAAATTTGCAAAAGAAAATATAAACAAAGTAAAAAGTTACTTGAATTGTAAGTAGAGTCGGGAACAAGGGAATCCCTTCGTTCCTTTTTCAACAACAAAAAGGGAAAGAATAAGAATAAGAATAAGAAGAGGAAGAAGAAAAAGCTATGGAAAATGAGATTTATGTAATCCGCTCGTCGTGAACGAGCTTTGTAATTTGTAGATCCGATCTTACGGGACGATAACGTTGAGATATTATTCCGTAGACCTCATCCTTCCCCATCCACCAATCCTCAACCCTCTTTTCCATCAACCCCATCGATCTTTCTCCTTTCCTCATCCATAATCTGTAGATCTTCAGTATGAAAAATTCGAGATAAAAAGAGAGAGAGAGAGAGAGAGAGGAAACAAAAAAGTATCTCAAAGTTTTCATCCAAAATTCGATCTTATTTGTTAGAACACAAAAATTAAATTCATTTGAAAAGATTTCTATTCTCTCTCTCGCATATATTATGAAATTTATATATTATTTCGTTTGACAATTAAATTTATAATAATATACTTTGTATGTATATAATTTTCATTACAATGTTTGACAAGAAATTGTAGATTATGTTACAGTATCATTTAATATTATTATTATTTCACTATATTAATCATAATTAATTTTTTGTATAAAATAATTATCAATTATGTGTTGTTCGCGAAACAATATTGAATCGATTTAAACATGATTTTTGATTTCTAAGAAATACAAACAAAATACATTTCTTTTATCGACACACACATTTT